CCAGGTCTGGAAATGTTGTGTGTGTGAATGTGTCTGTGTGTAATCATTTCCAAACCTGGAGGATGAGACCCTCTAACAACAGTAAAAAAAAATTGAGCTCATTGGCTTGTGAGAAAAAGCTCTCAGAATTGTAAGTAATGATTGATTTGCTTGGAGAAAGAATGAAAGAATGAAATGAAATTTTTGTGTGAGAAATTGGTTATGCAAGCAGTCTGATTACAGTATAAATGTGTGAGTATGTTGATGATGAAGAAAAAAAAACATTGGTGTAAATGTTTGTGTGTTGAGCCCCATCCCAGATTAAAAGGAGAGAAAGAAATTGCATATACAAGGAAATGAGAAAGGTCTCATGGAGAAATGTGTGTGATTTACTAAAGCTAGAGAAAGAGGGAGAAACAAAAAATTAGATGATAGAAGAATAGGGATGTCAGGAGCCATTGCATCTGAGGTGCCACCAAGAACACTGGATAAAATTGCAAATGGGACCAAGAAATTGCGAAATTAAATTTTTAGTGGATACTGGGGCATCCTGGATATATTGAAGCATAATCCCTCTGGGATGCCACATTAGCCAGAATTCGAATGTCAAAATCAAGAAATAAAAATCAACCCATGCCACATCAAATTTAAAATTATAGTATGTAGAGAGAGAGATCAAATATCTTGGACACTTGATTAGTGAAGGGAGTAGAAAAATAACTCCTGCTAGAATTGAGGAACTAAGAGAGACTTGAGAAAGTTTTAGGAACTGTTAGATAATTGTCAAAAAATTAAAAACAGTACTTAAAACAGCTCCAGTTCTCTCACTACCTGATGGGGAAGAAGAAAAAACCTTTCCCCTTATTTGTAACAGTCTTTGATGGAGTAACAAAAAGGGTTCTTAGTTCAAAAAAAAATAGGGAAGTCTCTTAAAACCAGTAGCTTCCCTATCCAAATTAATGGACCCTGTAATACGGGGGTGGCCGCTATGTATTCAAGCTATAGCTGCCACAGCTCTCTTAGTACAAGAAAGAAGAAACCTCACATTTGGTGAGGGGGCTTTGGTGGTTACAACCCAACATCAGATCAGGAACATCCTGCCTCAAACGAGCTCAGAGATGGTTAACCAATTCTCGTATCCTAAAGTCTGAGGGAATCCTCATAGAAGACTTTAATTTGGTACTCTCCACAAGCAATCATATGAACCTTGCTCAATACTTGATGAGAGAGGGAATAAGCGAAGGAGACCAACATGATTGTGTAGCACTACTTTATAGATGGAAGTGCCAAAGTAGTGGAAGGAGAGATGAGATGTTGTTGGGGATCCCATGCTATGGGAAGGAGGGTTTGCCTAGAACTGAGTTAACAGACAAAATTGTGAGAAAATATATTTTGAATTGTCCCAGTCTCGTTCTCTTTTAAGACAGAAAGGGGTCCTTGCACAAACACCACCTTGGACTTTGTTGTACATAAATTTAAGGCAGGGTTTTGATAAAATCCTGGAAGGAAGAAACTGTACATTCCTTTTCTATTTAGGACTGAGTGGTTGCTGATATTATTTCCCCAACTTAAAATAACAGCCACAGAACAAATCCCACTGCTAAATTTACCTGGTGTGCTGATCTTATAATTGTCTTGAGACTGGTGTAAATACTGAATGTTTGGATGGTGGGAGTTGGGAAATTACATTGAGTGAAAACTTTCACAATAGAAAGAAAGGAGAGGAATTTTGTATCAAACTTTTAATGGGACCAAAGTGGCCTAAGAACACGTGAACTATTTTGGAACCTTGAAAAAGCAACATGACCACCACCAAAACCAAAAGTGTGATTACCACGAGCCCCTAATAAATGGGAAAAACTAACTCCAGCATCAATAATCAGAGTTGGGAGATGAATATTAATTTGTAAAGCAAAAGATAAGAATTTAGGAAAAATGCTGAGTTTAAAATATAGAAGGGGCTGAGTATAAAATGCTGAGTATAAAATATAGAAGTAGAAATATAAGCTGTCTATGCAACATTACAGGAAAAAGCATTATATATATATTAAAAAAAACTTACTGCAAGTCAGCTAGGTGTCAAAAGAACCATGACGCCGTGCAACAGGACGAAGAGAGGAGGAAATTGTCTAAAATGGCTTCAACCAGACATTTGCGTGTTTTGCGTATGTGTGCATGGAATCAAATATGGAAGATTAATGGGAATCCAACAAATTAGGATTGTGGGTGGCTATATGTGTTTTGCCCAATGGGACTGGACTGAGCGAAGTTCTGATAAAAATGTGACTAGTAGTGAAGTGTGTTATTGTAAGAATCATGAAGCAAATAATAGCAACTGGACTGCCCCAGAAGGTATGTATAGGGAATGTGAAAAATATGCCTATACTAGCCTCCCCAATGGGTGGTTTGGACCCTGTGTAATGAGATTCATAAATCAACATAGGGAATCCCTATCGAAGGAGTGAATTCAGGCTTGGAAAGCAATGAGCCCTTGAATCCCTAGATACCAAACATAGTGATGCCCCAGATACTTGGAACTCTAGAAGGGCCTACACATAAGTGGAATATGGCACTCTGGGAGTGAATGGACATACAATTAAATTTGACAACAAACTGTGGTAGAAACCCCCTTAAAGGAGGTGACTGCAGTCTTGGGAACCTTAGCCAAAGGAAAGTGTGGAAAATAACATTGTGCACAACCAGCTAGCCCTAATAAAAATTTTGGAGCATAGCAAATTGGGTTGGTGAAGGGTTCAACAACGTCTGCTGTATTAGGATTCTGGGTTCTAATGTTTCTCTCTTGTTTGATTCCCTTTATAAGAGATGTGGTACTATCAAAGTTTAAAAGAATCAAAAGGAATAAAAGGAATTAGGTTATCTCCTTTTGAAATGATGTTTGGAAGACCCCCTGTCATAAGTACTAGTTTGAGAAATAATATAGGGGATTTAAGTCAATTAGGGGATTCATGGGTGAGTCTAATGAGTGGTACGCTTGAAGAAGCGCCCCCTATAACTGCCCTACTGGCAATGGGCAGGCAACATACGGGGCAGAAGAGGCCTTACTGGTGTCATTCCAGAAGCTGACCCTCTACGTACAGCTGAAAATAAGAACAAGTAAAACAGATATTAATGTGTTAGGGATAGAGTGTGTGGTAGAAAGATATATTCTTTTGAAAAGGATTTTATGTATCAAAAAAGGGGTTGGACTAGATGACCTAGAGGACCCAAATTTGCAAACTGTTATGTTTAAGTCTGAGTTAAAGAAACCACATTTTCCTGCCCAGCTTCTTAGGTAAGAGTTTCTTGTTCAGTATGATTAAACTTTTGTGTCTCAATATGATGGATTTCAAAGACCAGTCATTGTGCAGGGTACCAAGATGTCTGACCACATACGTGGCGTTTATTATTTTTATACTATTATACTAGCGTCACCTTCAGGATCTCAATTGCCACTACATCGATAGTATACCTAAACCGCAAATATGCTTCTAAAAGGAAACGAACTATAAATTGTATTGTTTTATATGTGCAAATGCTAATCTAAGACACCATAAAAGTGAGGGATGTCTTGCTAACTGCCTATGCTTTCCACCTCTTGTCTATTCCATTTGCACAACAGCATGTGAAATTGATTGTCAATCAGTGTTGCTACCTAAGTGGACAGTTTGATTTCACAGGTGTGATTGACTTGGAGTTACATTGTGTTGTTTAAGCGTTCCCTTTATTTTTTTTTGGGCAGTGTATATGTGGGCTTCAGCTCTCAGAATTCCCCAAAGGTTGAAAAACAGCAGTTTTGGGTTTTAACGTGTTCTGCCAACCATGAAGCTTCAGTACCTGATTTGCAGCACAAAACATTTCCCACCACCGCTCATTTTTACAAGCCGGAGCTGGTCCACACCATTCAATTTTCCCTAAATCTTTCCCCACGCCAGCAGTTTCCCTCACCGCCACCGAACCAAAGGCTTATCTATTGTGCAGGGGATTGCACCTATCAAGGGAGCCCAACCCAGTCAGGGAAGCGATGATGGGGAACCCGGGAAAAGGGGTGGTGGCGGCGGCAACAAAGAGGTTTTCCTTCGTGAGGGGGGAAAAAGGGGGATGCTGCGACCCCTTCCCCTCAATCCTCCCCCACCCACCTCCTCTCCGTTCCTGTCTCTTGTTTTATTTCCTCAAACCGCCCCCACCTCCCCCCACCGTTCCTAAGCCCGGCCCGCCCTCCTCCTTTCTTGAGGAGAACCGGGGCGCTTTTAGGCACGGCGGGCGCGCGTTTCTCCGAGGGGGAAACCCTCCCGGCGCCTCCTTTCTCACCCCCCCCGCCTCAATTGGGCCTTTCATCCCCGCGCCCACCCCTTGGATTCTCCTTTTTTCCTCGGGGGGGGGGAGGAGGAGAATGATGGTAAGGGCGGTTGGGGGAGCCAGCAACCCTTCAGCCTGGGCGAGCGCAAGGGGGTCGGAAGGAGGAGACTGAGGAGAGGGCAGCCGAGCGTTCCGAAACGCTCGGCGCGCGCGCCCCCGCCGCCGCCACACCTCTCGCTTCCCCCTCTTTTTCCTCCTCCTCCTCCCCAACCCTCCCCGCTGAAGGCTGCCGCTTTTTCTCCCCGGCTCGCCCTCCCCTCGCCCCATTTCCTCGCCAGCCGAGCGCAAGGATGGGCGGCCTAGGCGAACCGCCGCCGTCCCTCTAAGCGAGGCGAAGCCCCGCGCGGCCAAAAGAGACCGGCGGGGAAGCCCCGGCGCTTTGCCCGCTGCCCTCGCTTGGGCTTTTAGGAAGTCGAAGGCCAGCCGGCCGGCCGGCTCCTGCATCCTCCTCAGCGGCGGCGGCGGCAGCAGCATCCTCACAAGCGTATTGCCGCGCGGCCAGGCGTGAGGTCCGCGGCGCCGGCAGCGCGGCGCCGTCCCTGCATGGGGGGTCTGGGGTCGCTCGCCTTCCTTCCTGCCGGCCCCTGGAAGAGAAAGCGGCGGCGCCAACCGCCCTCAGCCTCCCCAGGTGTGACGAGTCGGTCGGCGGGGTCCGCGAACGGAGGATGGCGCGGGGGGGACTGGTGCTCTGCAAAGGCCCGCACACGCGCTTGCCGGTGGGCGCCAGCGCTCTGGGCTTCCTGGTGCTTTACTGGCTCTACATCTTCCCGGTCTACCGGCTGCCGGACGAGAAGGAGATCGTGGCCGAGGTGCTCCGGCAGCAGGGCAGAGCTTGGCGGAGGAACCTCAGCGCCGCGGCCGAGTTCAGGTGAGCTGCGTCTCGCCGCCTCCAGCGCGGGAAGGGGACGCGCCGCCGGTTGGGCAGCCGGGAGATGAGCCCCGGGCCGCCGGGATGGTCGATTTGACCCACGCGGGGGGACTGGTCCTCAAGAGCAGCGCACGCCCCCTGGCCGGCGTGCGGCGCGCTCGCTCGGAACCAGACAAAGAGCCCGAGTTGCTCAGTGGATCCTGAAGGGCACAGCCGCTTTTGATGGCTTGGAAACGCGCGTCTCTTTGTCGTGAGAACTGGGAGGCGGCCGTTTTAGGAGGATCTAGCCCCCTCTTCCAAAACCTCTTTGGGAAGGAGCATGCGAGCAGGGTTTTTAAAAATTGTGTCCTTGCCGATAAAATGGAGGGAGGAACATTGTCCCCTTAAGCCTTACCAAGCCCAAATATCTTTTCCTAATGACTATAGATACTTTAAAAAAAAAGTCTAGGAAAAATAATTCTCTGTTTCAAGGATGGGTTTGTTTTCAACCATTTTACTCTACCGTGGTTTTCATTCCACCTTTTCAATTATTGGGTTATTCAGACAATGCCCACCCGGCTGGTTGAATGCAATGTTGCACAAACCGTCTAAGCAGGTCATACCCATCCCAGTTAAAATACCGACAAAGGTGGTGTATTGGAACAGGAAGGAGTTCACTTAAGTTGAAGGTAAACGCCCTGGTGATCTGGATACATGGAAAGGGGCCCAGCAGATTAAACACCATTAATGCAAAGGTGAGGTTACCTTAAAGAGATTCATCCAAAGGTGTTTTTTTTCAAGGGGCAACTGGACTTCCTTTGTTTTTCCTTGAAGAGTTTAGCTTCTCATTAAAGAAGCTTCTTTGATTCCAAAGGTGCTTTTTCAAAAGGCAGATGGTCTTTCTTTGTTTTTCCTTGAAAATGTTGAAGAAGTTTCTTGGACGAGAAGCGAAACATCTTCAAAGAAAAACAAATAAAGTCCACTTGCCCCTTGAAAAAGCACCTTTGGGAAAACCATGACTGAGAATCTCCATAGATATTTAGTTTTAAGCTTCTTCGGTTCTTCTGAAAAAGCCTCTTGATGAGAAGTCTTCAAGGAAAAACAAGGAAAGTCCAGTTACCATTTGAAAAGAATAAAACAAACAAACCCTGTTTGGGACTGGATGACTGAAAAATCTCCGTAAGCATTTAAGAAAAGTCAGGTGTTCTGCAAGACTCTGATACAAGATTGCAGGAAGTCCCTGCTTTGACTTTTAACGTGTTGTGCTTCTCTTAGTTTGAACGGGTTTGGCTGCATTTAAACAGTGAAGGATGTGGATCAAAGAAATATTATTTTGAATTCTTTTAAATAATGTACACTGCTCAAAAAAATAAAGGGAACACAAAAATAAGACATCCTAGATCTGAATGAATGAAATATTCTTATTAAATACTTTGTTCATTACATAGTTGAATGTGCTGACAACAAAATCATACAAAAATTATCAATGGAAATCAAATTTAGCAACCCATGGAGGTCTGGATTTGGAGTTACACTCAGAATTAAAGTGGGAAAAAACACTACAGGCTGATCCAACTTTGATGTAATGTCCTTAAAATAAGTCAAAATGAGGCTCAGTAGTGTGTGTGGCCTCCACATGCCTGTATAACCTCCCTACAATGCCTGGGCATGCTCCTGATGAGGTGGCGGATGGTCTCCTGAGGGATCTCCTCCCACACCTGGACTAAAGCATCCCCCAACTCCTGGACAGTCTGTGGTGCAATGTGCCATGAGACATGATGTCCCAGATGTGCTCAATTGGATTCAGGTCTGGAGAACGGGTGGGCCAGTCCATAGCATCAATGCCTTCGTCTTGCAGGAACTGCTGACACACTCCAGCCACATGAGGTCTAGCATTGTCTTGCATTAGGAGGAACCCAGGGCCAACCGCACCAGCATATGGTTTCACGGGTCTGAGGATCTCATCTCGGTACCTAATGGCAGTCAGGCTACCTCTGGCGACCACATGGAGGGCTGTGCGACCCCCTAAAGAAATGCCACCCCACACCATTACTGACCCACTGCCAAACTGGTCATGCTGGAGGATGTTGCAGGCAGCAGAACGTTCTCCACGGCGTCTCCAGACCCTGTCACGTCTGTCACATGTGCTTAGTGTGAACCTGCTTTCATCCGTGAAGAGCACAGGGCGCCAGTGGCGAATTTGCCAATCTTGGTGTTCTCTGGCAAATGGCAAATGTCCTGCACGGTGTTGGGCTGTACGCACAACCCCCACCTGTGGACGTCGGGCCCTCATACCACCCTCATGGAGTCTGTTTCTCACCGTTTGAGCAGCCACATGCACATTTGTGGCCCACGAGGTCATTTTGCAGGGCTCTGGCTGTGCTCCTCCTGTCCCTCCTTGCACAAAGGCAGAGGTAGCGGTCCTGATGCTGGGTTGTTGCCCTCCTATGGCCTCCTCCACGTCTCCTGATACCAGGCCTGTCTCTTGGTAGCGCCTCCATGCTCTGGACACTACGCAGACAGACACAGCAAACCTTCTTGCCACAGCTCGCATTGATGTGCTATCCTGGATGAGCTGCACTACCTGAGCCACTTGTGTGGTTGTAGACTCTGTCTCATGCTACTATTAGAGTGAAAGCACCGCCAGCATTCAAAAGTGACCAAACCATCAGCCAGAAAGCATAGGAACTGAGAAGTGGTCTGTGGTCACCACCTGCAGAACCACTCCTTTATTGGGGACGTCTTGCTAACTGCCTATGCTTTCCACCTGTTGTCTATTCCATTTGCACAACAGCATGTGAAATTGATTGTCAATCAGTGTTGCTACCTAAGTGGACAGTTTGATTTCACAGAAGTGTGATTGACTTGGAGTTACATTGTGTTGTTTAAGTGTTCCCTTTTATTTTTTTGAGCAGTGTATATTATGTATAACAAGGGGGGGTTCCATTGGATGACCAGGAGAGTTCCTTCTTTGCTAAAATGCTTGCTTGTTTAAGCTGAAAATCATGTAACCACAAATATTTCCTGCCTGTCTGCTTGCTGTAAGGTTTCCTATTTCCTAGAATACTTGAACCGCAAGTTCAAAAGGACAGTCACTATAAATTGTATAAAGTGCCTTGCTCTTCTGACTCCAATTCACCAGAGAGGGATTCAGAATCACCTGCTTTTGCAAAAGTATATTAAAATTCTTGTTTGTTGACTTTATCTTGTCCCGAAAATTTGTTAAGAATTTGGGATCACCTAAATCTGACAACAGTTCCGGCTAAATTAGTAGTGTCTTGGGACAGTGAAATCTGTGCTTAAAAAGCATTTCTCCCTTTGTGCTTTCTTTTTAAAGAAAGTTTACCTCAGCAATCCTTTTTGTAGGTGAAGCAATGTACTATTTAGATCAGCGGTCCCCAACCACCGGGCCCCGGACCGGTACCGGTCCGTGGATCATTTTGTACTGGGCCGCAAAGAATGAAAGCCTACTTTGCTTGGGTGCCGCCATCTTGTTTCGACGGCGCTTGAGAAAGTGCTTCTGGGTGAGCTTGTTGGTCGTTGGTTGGAAAGCGGCATTTGGGTGCTGAAGGAATCCTCGCGCCTTAGTTTCATCAAAGGGGGGGGGCAGCTTCGAACGAAGAGCCATCCCGATGGCGGTGGAGCCTCGCGTTACTCAGGAGGAGATTAAGAAAAAGCCCGAAAAGCCCATCGACCGCGAGAAGGTATAAAGGAGGAGTTGAAGGTGGCGGGGAGAAGCGGGGGACGGCTGGCCTTGCCTTGGTCATTTTGTACCGGGCCGCAAAGAATGAATAATCGTGAAACTGGTCCCTGGTACAACAAAGGTTGGGGACCACTGATTTAGATGACTGGTTTGGTTGGTGACATACAAACACCATCTCTCAGAAGATAATCTCCATAGCTCAGGATTGAACTGGAAAGGTTATTGGTGCTCTGAACTTGATATTTTCGCTCAAAGTTTCATTAGGTTGGCAAGCAAACAACTGAGTTCAGAAGACCACCAAGGACTCCACAAACAATTTTTTTCCCTGCGTTCTTTCCGTATTAGGCAAAGTCCTGAACATTTTGGACTGAGTCCATTTTGAATAGAAAGACCCGGAAATCTAGACCTGTAGACTCTTTCTGTTCAAATGTTGAGACAAATATTTAACTTAGATTATTGAATCGACTCTTTTCTGAACACAATATATTGAATCATAAATTAAGCAAACGGACTGAGTTTTTACAGCATGCTAATTCTCAACCTCCCCATTTCCCCCCCTTTTTTTGTTGAAAAAAATCCATTCTAAAATTTCTTATGGATTGTGTAGTTTGTTACACTCTGCGCTCACAAATCCCTATAGACTAGCTGTTTAAGCTATCCTGGGAACGCAGCTATAAGGTCTTTAATTGACTTCATTTAAGCTTCAACCCTAATGATGTGTTTAGGGTTAAAAAGAGTTCAGCCAAATACTGATTAAAAATCACTGTGTTTCACTTTTGCTGCTGTTAATTTGTAGAGCATAATCTGCTTAGACTCTGACATGGGAATTTAGTTGTAAAATAATTATATAATATGCAACTACTATCACGTCTGCATCTGTCTCTCTCTTTGGCTATTGGTCCTCATATTTGGTTTTCAATTCAGCTTTTTGTTTTCATGTATTCCAGGTAGGATACAGATGATGTGTTTGAGGACAGTTACCACTCTGTGTAGCTTATATAAGTGATCCTCGACTTACAACCATAACGGAGCACAACATTTCTGTTGCCAAGCGAAACATTTGTTAAGTGAATTTTGTCTCCTTTTTGTTCTGTTTATGCCACAGTTGTTAAGTGAGTCACTGCAGTTGTTAAGTTAGTACAGGTAATCCTCAACTTAGGACCACAGTTGAGCCCAAAATTTATGTTGCTAAGTGAGAAATTTATTAAGTGAGTTTTGCCCCATTGTATGGCTTTTCCCACCACATTTGTTAAGTGAATCCCTGCAATTCTTAAATTAGTAACATGGTTGTTAAGTGACTCTGGTTTCCCCATTGACT